CTCGTTATCTTGCCTTTCTCCAGCTAATTTCGCTTTTATTAGGTTTGGCAATTTGTAGCTGGGTTTCCAGAGACCAGGCAGTCGGGGATGCTGAATGGATGAGATGCTTTTTGGAGGAAGGAAATCTGGGATATACATTTCATTTTTACATTTGACGTTTGCACAACTGCCAGAGGAAGAATCGCGAGCGAAATGAGGCGCAATTTACAGAGCTCGTTGCGTGTAAATTGAGTCATCTGCCAAGGCACCCCGTCGAAAACCCCCACCACCCCTCCTCACCTCACCTCCTCTCAACAACCCCCTGCCAATTGCCATTCTCATTCCCATTCCCATTCCCCAGATCCATAACCATTTCCACTTTCCGCTTTTTTTCGTTTGGCAGCAGCGACATTTTCAAGTAACATGCACAAATTTATTTCATTTGTTGTTCCCAAAACCTCCCTTTCCATTTCCATTTCCCTTTTCCATATCCCTACTTTGCCAGTCATTCGACCATGTCCGCATATCCCTATTCCCGTATCCCGAATTCCCTCCACCATTCGGCGTTTTCCCGAAAATTTACATTTTTATGAAATTTTCGTTTTTGTTTTTCATGCATTTTTACAAATTTACACATTTGTTGGAATTTTTTATTGGCTGTCATCATTAGTTTCGATATGGCCAGGGGTTGGGGATTCGCTTCTGGAGGGTGGGGAAAGTCAGGGAGTGGGGCAGTCGACAAGTGTGTGGGCGTGTAATTTATAAAGTGTTTGCCAGGGGAAAATTTTCGGGGGAGTATATGATAATATATGTTCGGGGGTGTGGAAAGGGGGGAGATCTGCGATAAGGATGAGAAGAGTAATTGGTTTGGCCATCAAGTTGATGGGGGAGGCATATGTGTGATGTGGATGGTGAGGTGCTGAATACCAAGAGGGCGGTACTTTCCGATGTCTGGCTAAAGGTCTCTTGGGGTTACTCAAGCGGTTACGGGATGATCTGGGGGATTTCGAATTCGGTTAGCTGGCTCTACGGAATTTGGCTTGGGAATGTACTTAGCAATTGAGTATTTAACCACAAGGATTTAGATGAGTCTTACGAGACTTTAATGTTTCTCAAATTAATCGGAAGCAACTAAAACTTGTATGAAGGTGGTTAGGGTTTTTGATTTAAGAAATGTATAATTGAAAGTAAGTTGAATTTCATTCTACTGATGACTATTACATTTTCAAATAAATGAAGCCTTTATATTATAACATAAATTTCGGAAACAAGTTTATTCCTTTTTTATCAGCTCCTACAAAATTTAAAAACCTTACTGTTTCCAAATCGGCCCGATCTAATCATATCATGCCGGCTGCTCATAAATCCAGTCCGACTGTCCGGATCTGGCAAAACGATAATGACACACGAACAAAAGTGCCTGTCAGCCAGATATTACCAAAACGAAAGTGTCAACTAGCCAGGTCAAAGGAGGAGTGCAATCAGGAGCAGGGGAGCCCACTGTACCGGTGAAAAGTCATAAACATTACGTTGATTTTATTTCGGCAAGTCGACTACTATATTTTTTATGCCCGCTGCGAGTTGCGAGCTGAGTCAAAGGATTGTCTGTCCTTCTGCCGGCCACGCTCGAATGCCAGTTACGGAAAATGTCATAAAAATGCCTGGAATCTGTGATGGTTTTCCACTATTTTCCGCTGTTTTGCACACACGTACTAAGCGGAGGAGATGCACTGTAATAAATAACTAATCCAGATACAAGAAAAGTCATTAACAACTAAAATAAATAAACAAGAAAGCATTTTTTCATTTATAATGCAAACTATAAAACAACATAATTAAGTGATATAATAAAACTTTATATAAAAAATAGAGCGTTAATTCTTTTGAAAACGAAGGTTTTTTTTTTTTTTTTGAATGCATAGTTTAAGAGGGAAAGGGATTCCAGAAGAGAGTTAGACATTTTTATGACATTTCCCTGACTACTGTTTATTTGCTTTCTCCACGCTGCCCGCCCTTCCTTATTTTTCTCGAGCACTTTTCCGACATTTTAAACATTTCTTTTGCCGCTGGCACTTGGCCTTTGTCAGATTTTCCCTGCATTGTATCATGTCGTTTGTGTAATTTTTATGATTGTCAAGGATTAGATATAAATGTTTTATGATGTTGGCCCGCTACCACAGTTGTGGACCAGAAATTGTGTTTTAATATGATTTTACGGCTTTGTGGTAATTCGGAATATTCCCAACTTGATTGGCTTCGATGTGGCGTGCCTGAAATTCCAAATTATCCGATCCTTCGCTCTGGTGCACCCTTTTTGTGGCGTTTTCCCTCCAAATGGGACTTAGGCTCCTCTTGAATTTTTCCTGGAAAACGGCAGGCTCATCACAGTCCAGTTGTTTGATGTTCTTAGGACCGCCACGCCCCCTGCCCCCGAAAACTGCTGTCAGTCGCTACCAAGTCCAATTTCCCCTCAACGAACGCGTGAAAATGCAGCCACAAAAGTCGATGTCGATCCATCATAATTCCTTGGGTCGCGTGGATTTACAAGCGCCCAAACTATCGGTAGATCGTTTTGGGAAAAATATGAAAATAACGAGGAACTGTGAAATCGATCGATGGTATTTGTGTTCTGGGAACCGCAGCTAGCGATGGCGCTTGTCCTTCAATCGAGTTGCCAGAAATTAATTACATTTAAACGCTTGGCTCCCCCGAGAGATTTCCCCGTGGCTGTGCCAAAAAAAAAAAAAAAATGTAGAAACCGAGAAAATAGGTCTGGAAACACACTCAATTCAAATGAATCCAAAACGCACACTCTAAACGCCAACTCATCATCATTAAAGTCAATTTTTCTCGTCTTCTGTTGTCTTGTTTTGTTGCTACTCAACAATTTCTGGCCATCGAATTGGACAAAGGGAATTTCCCACGTTTTTCATTGTTTTCCCAGCAAGAAAAAAACGAAAAGACAAAAAGTGAAACTGCTGTTTTTTTTTCTGCCTCTCTCCAATTCTCCAATTTTCAGCTGAACTAAGATCAGAAATTGGACTGTGGATTTTGGAAGGAGGGAGGTTCGTATAGGTGAAATTGCATCACGCTGGGTTTCGGTTTCTGGGGAATTGTTTGCAGGCTGGAAATTGTTGATTTTGACACCTTTTGGGCTGCTGCACATTGTGTTCGTCTTTATTTCCATCTAATAAATGCATTTGTGCCCTTTGTTTTCCCCCCGGCTGTGTGTTGCATTTTTTATGGTTTTCGTTTCGTTTTGCGAACCCTGGCAGGGGGTCATCTGGGTCTGGGGAATCTTGCTCCTGGCCACTTGACTGCCGCTGGTCCTGCGGCATCAGGATATCTTTATTCGCTCATTAGCAGCACGATTGTGCTGGCTGCAGGTCCTTCAGCTCCAGGAGCTCCTGCTGCGAGGACCTCAGCTCGGTGGGCGTGTGAAATTACCTAAAATAAAAGGTAAATTGCGTTTTTCGCCAACTCAATTAGGATAAGTTCGTCGGAAGGTTGATGGAAAAATACAGGAAAATCTTTTAATTAAATTCCTTGTATTGTGATCTTATTAATTTTCAACTTTGAACTTGTAACATTTCCAAATATTTATTTCCAACTTTCACAACCTAATCGAAACCTATGTTGAAAAGCCGAAAGCAAGCTTCACACACGTTTTGAACATTAGACCGCAAATCAAACTGAATCAGCAAAAAATCGTTGAACTTTCGACAACATTTCGCCTTGTAATCAAAATCCATTAGTCAACATAATTAAGCTTTAATGGACTTGAAAGTTGTTTATGTCTCGCGTCGATTCGAACCGAAAGCCATGTGTAAATATGCGTGGCTTAATTAGCAGCCATAAAAATTTGATAGATTTTAATCTAACACTCAAGTTGTTGCTGCGATTTCTAGCCCATAAATCTCAGAGTTCGGCGACGTTTTTGAAGGCTCTAACTGATAACACAGTGTGAAAATAACACTACCAAATATTATTTGTTCGCAGCTGAAAGTGTTTTGAAAATCGTTCGGAATTTGATAGGAAAATCAAGTTGTGGCCAAGGGGACGGAGTGTTACTTTTAGCACGTCTCGGCCACTGATGAACCTGCTCTGATTTAGATTCGGAATTGCGATTCGGACACTACATAAATTATGCAAACTTTGTCGTGTGCCAAAAAAAATATAATGCCCAAAAATTAACATCTAAATCGTAGCGAAAAAAGATAACCCGGTAGCACATGTCATAAAACTGTCCCGATTGAAGTTTTCGAGGATGATTTATTGGAACAGTAGCATTTGAGTGCAACCATGGTGTGGAATTGCTAATAATACAGAAACATTCTAAATATATTCCGAGTTTAGTCCTATTAATATTGATGTATTCCTTTTTACAGATTTCCGCAACAACGTGACCATTTCCAGCAAATTTCTTTACAAATCTGGCTGAACCATAAATTTGCACAACAAAAATCCCCCAACTTAATCCCCGGAACATGGAAAATATTTAAAAAAGATATCCCTGTAAGCCCCGAAAACCCTTTCGAACTTCTAGCAAATTTGGACAGAGTCCGCAAACATAGACATTTAGCCACCTGGCATTAGATTTCCATTTAGCGCTCGTTCGGGCCGAGAAATGCAACCGCAAAAGCGAGAAAAAAGAAAACAAAAACTATGAATGGCAGTTTAAGCCAAATTACACAAAGGCCAAGAGCAACAACAACTGGCTGGCTGGCTGTTCGAACGGAAGCCATATGCAGAAAACTGAGCAGCGGTAAACGCGGCGCATTAAATTGGTCCCGCCCCGTAGAAAGCAGCCATTTCGCTCACTCGCACTGGGATACATACACCATATCTGGGGTAGATAAAATCCACAAGGCGGGGATGAAGAAGATGGCTATAGAGTGTCTGTGAGTGTGGATTGCTGCTATTCGCTTCCCTCTCTGCCAACTCAAAACCGGTTTGGCCTGCGCGAGAGAGACTGACTCTCGCCGACATTCGAACAGCGCACACTTGGTGGTTCCACAGTGCTCTCCAGATTTATTCAGACATCGAACGTCGTCGAGAAAACACGTCTATAGTCTTCCGACAAATCGAGCGCGTCGATCGCTAAAGAATTTCAAAGTTTGCCGAGTGCGTGTGTGATTCATATATGTTACAATACATTCAAGCGTTACAAATGCGTCGCTTAGTGTGAAAAATACTTCGAAAAATATAATAAGTTAAAAACAAGAACAGAAGGACTTCCCTGAGGATTACAAAAAACCAAAAACAGAAAACCGTGTTTAGCCCCCAAAGAAAAAGGCCGCCAACATAGCCGAACTAACCGCCGTATTTATGACTAAGATGATTCCGCCGGTTCCCACCGCCGCTGCAGCCGTCATGATGCCCACGCCCAAGCAGAAGATCGGATTCAGCATCGAGTCCATTGTGGGCAACGATGTCAGCACTGCCGCCGGCAATTCGACGCCCACCGACAACGGGCCGTCCAGTCCGCCGCCCGGCGAGCGGAATGTGCCCGGTTCGCCGCCCCAAACGCCGCCGGCCAGCCTTACCCTGATACCGGGCTCACCTCCACACCACCTGATGGCTCCTCCCGCCCATGGGTTGCCCTATCCGCATCCGCAGCAGCAGCACTTGCCACCGCAGCCACATCCGCATCCGCATCTCTCGCCCGCCCAGCAGCACGTTCTGCACCAGCATCTGCTCATGCAACAGCAGCAGCAGCATCCCGGCACTCCCAAGAGCCACCAGGACATCCAGGAGCTGCTCCAGCGACTGCACCACAATGCCGCCATGGCCAGCGGATTGAGTCCGCTGCAGACACGCCTCTCGCCGGAGGCGGATCAGCCCAATCCCGTACCGGTTTCCCTCAAGCGCGAGCGATCACCTGCACCACCTTCGATGGAACAGGCGGAGAATCCTGCCCAGCGCATCCAGCCACCGCACACTCCGCCGAAGTCTGTGAGCCCCCAATCCTCCCAGCCATCGTCGTCTCCCACCCTGCTCATCAGCAGTCCGCATGCCACGCCCCCGCAGCAGCAGCAACCGCAACAGCCGCCCAACTACCCAAAGCCCGCCATGATGCATCCCGGAGGAGCGGGACCCGGCATGATGATGCCAGGAATGCCGCCAGCGGGACTCGTGCGTCCCTTCCCCATGGGACCCGGTGGACCGCCGATGCCGCAGGGACAGCCGGGAATGCCGGACATCAAGGCCCTGCCGCCGTACATCAATGCACCGCCAGAGCTGCCGCCCCAACACAATCCGCATCTCATTGCCGCCGCCCAGTTCCAAATGGCCGCCGCCCTGCAGGCGGGACATGTCCTTGGACCCGCTGCCGCCGCCGCTGCTGCCGCCGGTCTGCCGCCCCACGCCGCCCAGTTTATGCCCAATCCTGGAATGGCCAGGGAGAGCTATCAGCTGTATCCTTGGCTGCTGAGTCGCCACGGAAGGATCTTCCCGCACCGTTTCCCTGGAAGTAAGTATCTTAGAAATTAGATCTTGAAATAGATTTTCAGAAAAGGATAGGGACGGCTAAAACTTAAAAATATTTTAAATTGAATACCATCTTGAAGATAATTTATTAAAGAACTAAACTTCTTCTATAAGAAATTTATCAATGGGTCAGAAAGTATAAATTTTTATAGGGCATATTTCTCTGTTAAAAATATTTTTGTAAAATCGATGACTAACCAAGTCTCTTTCTTTTTTTAAAGGCTTCCTAGTGCCCCCGTTCCGCAAACCGAAGCGCATCCGCACCGCCTTCTCGCCCTCGCAGCTGCTGAAACTGGAGCACGCCTTCGAGAGCAACCAGTACGTGGTGGGGGCGGAGCGCAAGGCCCTGGCCCAGAACCTCAACCTCTCGGAGACGCAGGTGAAAGTGTGGTTCCAGAACCGCAGGACCAAGCACAAGCGGATGCAGCAGGAGGACGAGAAGGGAGGAGGCGAGGGCTCGCAAAGGAATATGCACAACGGCAGTGGCGACGAGGACGACGACGAGCTCATCGACATGGAGATGGACGAATGCCCCAGCGACGAGGAGCACGAGCTGGACGCCAGTCACTAGAATCCAGGAGAGAAATCCTGCGGCGGTCCGTGAGTTCCTTAACTTGGCAAACGAAAAAGTCCAGTTCCAGTTTTCGAGGGTTCCCAGTCGAACTTCCACGAAAGTAACATAGTTTGTTTTGTTGTGATATATTCTTAGAGCGATCTTAAGGCGTTAGGCTATAACCTGTACATAGGAAAGTATTAGTTTCCACCTCCCTCTCTCAAGATCCGTGCCAAATCCTTGCGAAGAACCGAGGTTGAGTAGAGCTCAAAGAAAGCAAGTTGTTTCCTCTATCTTTCCAAAATATCTGTTTAAAAAAAAAAAACACTTAAAAAAGAATCTTAGGCTAGACACAAACTATAACTGTACAAATTTATTGGTTTAAGCGTGTAAATATTCATGACAAGCATTACTTTTAATTAGTGAATTTCTCCAGAACAAATCGTACTCAAGCCACTACCTATTGTATAATTCTTGTATATTGTATGACGATCTAGCATTTATTTATGTTTAGTGTTAAGCACGAACCTCTAGAGTCGCTCAACTGCAGCTGGATATTATTTAAACCCGTTTAATACGTAGCCCTAGTTGCTAGTAACTAATTCCTAAGCCAAGACAACATTAATGTAAGAAGTACGCAAAAATATTATCATATAAAATATAAAATATTCATTATGAAAAGAAATCGAAAAGAAAATGTTTGTTGGACTTATTTTGGGAATGGGTTAAAAATTATTTTGGATGAAATAATCGGAAAATAAAAGTGATAAGATAATCTTAATCTTTAACAGTTTCTGTAAGTGTAAAATATTGAACACATGCATGTTTTTTGTATGCGGCTTAGCTTTTTAACTGCCTTCCTCGACTTTACTTTCCTTAAACATTTTTTTAACGTTTCGTGTTTTTATTTTTGCATCTCCGCCCTCTTTAAATTGAGTTCGTCCCACTGTGTGACAGAGTTAAAAATTATGCGCCGTCAATTAATTAGCGTGTGACATTTAACATTGTTGTTGCTGTTTCTGTCTACTCGAACGGTGACAGGTGCGACGAAGGAGGAAGTGAGAGGGGTATCAAGACAGAGAGAGATAGATAAAGGAGGCGACCATAAAATGCATTTAGCGATCGTTATTTCTTATAGATTTCATAAGCATTTTAATTGCACAATTTAAAATGCAAATCGTGTTTTATTGTAGAATTTAATTGAGCGCAGCTCGTGAGAGATCAAAGGGGCGGGGGTGGCTGCTTAGGGGGGATTGGGGTGTCATGGAGCCCCCATTGGAAACTGGTTAACAAGTCACTCGGGGTGTGCTAATGATTTAAAAGCCAAATTTACGATTATTGGCCCACCAGTTTATGCGACAATTGTGGGGAAACGGGCGTGGGGGTAAATCGTTATCGGCAAAACGGCCATCAGCTATCAGCTATCTACTATCGGCTATCGAATGGGGCCTAATGAATATGCAGTGGCTAATTGCAATGGGCAAACTGCAAAGCAGCCGGCCAGATTAGATCGGTTGATATGGCTAATTAACGGACATAACGAGTCTAATTACTAGCTGTTAACAGCAGTAAATTGAGCCACACTGTCAAAGGTCCCTCTCCGCGAAATCAGGGGGATTGGAAATTTACAATTGCAAAAGTCATAAATCAGAGCGAGGAAATTATATGTTCCAGTTCCGATCTAAATCGCTGACTTACCTATAGACCCCAAGCTAATGGCGAGGCTTGTTTGCTTAGCGGGCACGCACATTTGATGGAAACTTCGAGATTTCAGACTCGAAATACATTGCCCATCGCGGGGCAACTGTAATTAATAATGGGGCTGGGGCACGCCCCTCGCATATTGGATCGGGGGCTTATCTCCTGGCCCGCTTTTCGATATCACTCGCTTCAAATGTTTCTGTAGAACAAAAAAACGAACGGCGAAGGGACCGAAAACGAAAACGAAATCGGAATGAAATCCCTTGCTGATAATTCTCGGAAATTAAAACACAATTTGGTAAGTTGTTGCTGTTGATGATGTTATACATATATCAGACATACATATGTTTGTACAACTTGTTTTGCCTCGTGGCTGGCTTCGTTCGGTTTTTCTTCCCCCCGTTGATTTGGTTTTGGTTTGAATGCCCCAAAAGGTTTGTTATGCGGCGCGCCCCAAAAAAAGAGAGATATATAGAAATAATAATAACAACAGCAACAACGCCGCATTCACTTTATAGCCAGCACCACGCACAACTTGCTGCCCGTTGTTATTGTTATTTATCCCATAAAGTTTATTAAGTAATCCAATTTGGTTAAATTAGCTGTGTCTCGTCTTGAAGTTATTTCGGATTTTAATTGAGTTTGCGTTTGCGTTTGGGTTTCTCTTTGCACCGCACTCCCTCCTCTTCAATGCTCATTATTGTCGGCTTGATTTCACCGATCGCTGATCGATGGCCGGCATAATGCAAATTGTCAAGCCGAGATCGGGGACCCTGGCCCCTTGGCCCCTTAATGACCATCCTCAAAGACAAGGTTCAAGATCGGGACGTGCCATATCTCGGTGTTCTGTTTAATGTGTGTTTCCTGGAAGATTAATACGGCGAAATTAAGGAAAATAAATAAATGTCAGCGCTGTACAAGATCGTTATCGCATTTAACAATAATTACCCTGATATGGGATATGCTAACTAATCTGTTAAGCCCGCTCATTCCGGCCCAGGATCGTTCGCTGCGGCGATGGCCAACAGGTTTCTGGCCCCAAGCGACTGTTTAGTGCTTTCCGTTGTCGCCCGAGAGACATCATCGAAGGTGTCGCCTGCCGCTTGCTGTGTTAAATTAAGTAATTAATTTTAAAGTCCATGTTCGGTCCGTTTGTCTAACGAATGACGAAAAACGAAAGACTCAGGCGACGAACTTTAGGCCGCCACGCTTGTTAACCCCACTTCCGTCATCATCATCTTAAAGTGGCCCAAAGATTTCGATCAGTTTGGCTTCAATTGCTTGTAATTTACTGGGGATTGTTCTCGTTTCTTGGGCACTTCCTGCGGCTCGACTAGATTGGCATCACTTTTCCAGGCCCTCGACATTTGTTTGTCGTCATAATAATTCGTAAGCGTTTTAATTGAATCGATCCGACCGACGGTGGGCGTCTCCCGCTCCTTAGCTATATATACATATACACTCCAGATCCGCTGTGTCATTGCCAACTGCTCGACTTGTCCAGGGGTTAAGCAGAATAAACATTTGACTCGAATTTGGGCCCTCAAGTGCTTAATTAAGAGCCGCAACAACGTCTCGTTTTGGCCTTTATTTATTTAACAATTTCGCTTCGGCCAGGGCCCAATATTTTGATGTTTTCTAATTGCCTCAATTATGTTTGGCTCTCCGGGTGTTTGGACTGTTAGATCGACGGCCTCATCACGAATTTCTGGCGCCAGACGCCGTCTCTTTCATATGCAAAGTGCTCCGCCGATCAAATATCGAATGCTTTAATTTGGTATATCAAAGAGAGACATTATGCTGCTGCTGCCAGTCCCCCGTTCCCCTGCTCGTAAAAGCGTCAAATTTCTCAATTCTTGATTCTCAGTTGCCCATTACGAATTCCCGATTTCGTGGCCAACTCCATGGGGCGTCCTAATTGTTGATATGCATCTCGGTTTCTCGGCCGTTCAGCCACTCGGTTATTTGGTTATTGGGTCCGTCGAGAGACTCTTAATATTATTTGGTGAGTTTTATGTTTTATTTCGAATTAGTCACATAAATATGCACTCTTTATGACAACCTGATGTTTGTTTTTACTGTTTAACGTTCGCTGGGCCGAAGCGCCCACGCGGCGTATGATTGTTGGCATTTCAATAACCAGGGACAGTGGTTAAAATTAACTTAAAAAGGCTGATATTTATTTATAATTTTATTAAGACTTAAACAAGCTTAGTATTATAAAATATCTTAAGCTGGCATAACTATTATTTTTTAACTGATTAAATGTTGTTTTTGTTTTGATTATAGATTACTTCCCTTGGAATATATTTAGAAAATTATTATATTTTATTTGTAATTCTGTATTATTTTTTTCTTAAATTTCGGAGCTTTTTAACCACAGTGCAGCTATTGACACTCGAAAATAATGCCATTCCATACTGCCCGCAGTGCAATGCATTATTCAAGCGCTGGAGAAAATCCCGCCTTGGACGTTTAGCTGGTTAAACAATCAATTAGTGACGACCGCAACTGAATCGCTGATGCCGTTATTGAATTATACTCGAGGCGTAATAATCGGAGGGCCATATAGGACCTGCCCCTCCCCAAAATAAAACCCCGCCCTGACAGGCCAACAAATGCTCGGATTGCGTGCCAGGTTCAAGTTGGTCAAGGTAATTATGGGTTTGCCATTTGGGGCCTGCATATGGATTCTAGTTCTATACCCCAAGTGCTCCAATGTAAGGTGCATGCCCCCGTGGTTGTGTAGTACAGTGTAGACTGTAGTAGTCGGTGGTCCGGGCCAATGAGGCGTCATCTAATATATTGCAATTACAAGCGGCAATTAGTCAATTTGACAGACTCGAACACGAAACGCTTTTCGTATAATTAAAAGCCAATTAGAATATTTATTATGAAAATTGCTCAACAAATGTGCATAATTGAAGAGATGTGAATTCGTTTAAATTATAGGCTGCTCGACCGATTTCCATGTAATTGCCAGCCATGAGAAGCTCCCAATGGGAAATCAACTATCTGATGCCCCATCCAATTAGCGGTTTTCTATAATTGAATCAGGTACTTCCTGTGAAGCGATTAGGAACACGGGAAGCTTATTACAGGTTTGGTTTGGCTGGTTAAGCTAATCTTATTAGTCATTTTTAGGTAAGCAAAACACTTTTAATAGCTTTTGTATTTGTTTGAAAATTGTACATAAAAACGTGTTTGGTGTGCAGTTTTGTTTCATGTTTGTTCCCTATAAGCTCTTTTAACACATTTCCCGTTTTCTGCAGTTAATGTGGCACCTGTGCTAAAGAGGCTTTTATGTTTAAACAGCCAATTCGTCACACAGTTGGCTACTGGCAGCGGATCCACGCCCACGCCCAAAGAGTCGCATCTATTCACACTTGGGGTTAGGTCAGGCCTGTCGAATGTCCAAATATTAATGAATTAGCATTTGTCACATACACGCAAGCGGACGATGAAAATATTGAAAAATTATGCAGCCCAGGCAATCAAACAATTAAATATAAATTTGTGGTATTCACGCCCCAAGATCGAAGAAAGAAGCAGAACGAACCCACAACACAAAGAGTATCGGACAAAACAAATGAGTGCGTCCCTGATGTTGATGACGCTGTTGATGTAGAATGGCATTCCTCGGAGCTGCTGTTGCGTCTGGAAATTCAAATTCGTTGGAAAATATTGTCAGCATAATGCTCGTAGATTATCGGGGATCGGGCAGAGGTGAGCACACCCAAAACGATTTCCAATACAATTTTGACAGCGTATTTCGTAATAAAGTGGAAAATTCATTGGAATCGAAATCAGGCAGCGATGGCAAGTGCATTTCAATTAGCTGCGGCTGTTGGGGGCCAGGTTCTATTACCATTTCTAATTAATCAGACGGAGGGAAGGGGGAGGGGCGAGAGAATGCTGCTTTATTTTGACATTTTCCACGGATATTAGATTAACATCGTTTTAAAATCAAATTAA